ACAAAGGACAGACCGTCGTGATGAAATCCCTCGCGTGTCCTCTCACGTGTTTCACCGCCCCCGCGCGCCTGCTCCGCCCGCTCCGCGTGTACACAAAGGATCTGTGGCGCTGCCCGGCGCTATGCCCCGGGGCGACCCCGGCAGTGTGCACTCTCATGACCCCCTCATCACGGTGCTTTGACTGTGACACACCTGTTGCCAGGCCGTCCGCGGGGACTGCGTGTCTGCCTGTCTGCCTGTTTGTCCGTCTGTCCGTCTGTCTGTCCGTCCGTGCGAGGCGCCTCCAAGTCCCGGTGATTCTCCAGGATGCCGCGCAGCACACAATGGACCAGAAGACCGGTGGGGCGGCCAAAATCCTAGACGCGTTTTGAGCTCTAGAGTCACTAAACAGGACTCGAACCGAACTCGTTCGGAGAGCAATCCATTGGTGGGGTCACACGTTTGGTTCGAGCCCCAGTTAGTGACTCTGGAGTTCAAAACGCGTCTAGAATTTAGGCCGCTCCACCGGTCTTCTGGTCCACTGTGCAGCATCCCGCCGTCCAATTCGCGCCGAAGTGCCAAAGGACTGGCGGGCTGAAAGGAAGGGCATACCGCGACGGCCGTCCCCTCCGCTCCGCCGCACTGCAGCACCTTTGGCGGTCTGGTCCTCCCGAAGCCGCAAAACCGGCGGAGGTGATCAGGGACGCAGCGGCGAGGCGGGCGACTGGCGAGAGGGACACCAGGCCGAGAGACAGAGTGGCCCGGAATGGGAACCAGCGCGTTGCGGTCCACCCAAGACGTCGTCTGGCAGACGACCTAGTCGCTTCTTGCTAACCAGCCGGTACCAGCATTATGTCGAGGCATGGTTCGTGGAACACCCTGTGGGGCGCGCTGCGCTGTGCTGCGCTGCGGATCATGCTGGCGTCTCTTGGCAAGTTTCCCGCAGAGCCATGCTCTGGCGCGCGAGGCGACCGTTGCTTCCCTGTCGCGGATCCAGAAAGGGCGGCGGCGAGGCGAAGCGGCGGAGTGCTGGGGGGCTGCTCTGCTGGAAGGGTTGCAGGGCTGCCCGAGGGGCCGCCAGCCTGCGCGACCCGGCCAGGACCCGGCAGCCCCGGAAGCCGCTTCGATTGTTGCGGGGATAACTATTTGGAGGCCGACATGGAAAGGGTGTGGGGATGTCCTTTTTACGCGTCTTGAGGCTGGGGATGTTCGGCGGGGCTGCCGCGGGGCTGGGCGGACGGCGGCGCGGCGATGCGGCGGCGCGCGAAGGGTTCGAGGAGCACGATCCCTCCTTTTGTCCTCTTTTGTTCGCCATTTTCGCCTTTGTTCGCAGCAGTGAATTCGCGGCTCTGCCAACGCCCTCAGCCTCGTCCCCCTCAGTCTCACTGCCCGCGCTGCGTGGGCGGCTGGGCGGTGGCGGCGCGGCCCGGGGGGCATGATGACGGCGTCCTTTTGTCGCCGGCCTTCGATACTGCGAGGTGGTCTTGCGCCGCAGCGAGATCCAGGCAGTGATGATGGAGGAGTTTGCCGAAAGGGGTCTCGGTGCGGATTGCAGACGCGGCCCGGCGTCTTCGTGTTGGCGCGCTCCAACGACGTTACCGCGAGCGTGACGGCCCGCGGCAGACGACGCGGCGCCCGGGGCCCGGCCCAGCCCAGCCCAGCCCCGACGCGGTGCAGTCACGAAAAACAATCTCGAGATGGGCTCTCCGCGCGGCGGCGGGGGTTTGACATTCTGGCGAAGCAGCACGAAGAGAAAGCAGTGGGGGATGAGTCCGGGATGAGAGCGTCTCTGCCTCTCGCCCACGACTCTCGCTCGCTCTCGCCGCTCTCACTAGAAACCCCGCGCCTCTCGCCTGCATGCCCGGACGCTGAGGGGAATTGGATTTTCCGTGGAATTTCTGCGGCCAACGAATTCTTCGGGAACTTAGCGGCGTGTTCGGCATCACCTGTCTGCGGCGCAGCCCTCGGTGCAGCCCGACGTCTGCCGCGGTCGGCCTCGACCAGAACATGGGGCAGGTCATCCAATATCCATGGGATGCCTGCCTCTCCAGTCCGTGCCGGGGACGGAAATACCACCGCCACAGAGAGCCACAGCCCGCGGCCTGTTCCCTGACAGCGCGCGCGTTTTCCGGCTAACTACCGTTTATTTTTAACTAGAATATATAAGTCACGCGGGGAGAATCGGGCTAATGATACTTCCAAGTTAAGTTTGGCCACAACAATTGGGCTGTTTCCTGCCCGGCCCCGCCCGGCCCCGCCCGGCCCCGCCCCCCGCGGCGTTCTGGCTCGCACTCCTCGCAAGTTTGCTGCCGTAACGCCCTGGCACCGCCAAGGCACAGCCCAGCCTCGCCCCGCCTGCCCTGCCACCCTCCCGCCGCGCTGCCTGCTTGTTGGCCACCAAACTGGCCTCCCCTGCGGCCGCGTCAGGCCGGGCCGGGGGCTGCGCAGCGTGCGAAGTTGCCGCGGTACGCCCAGCTCGGCGAGCTCGGCCCGGGGCGAGGCCTGGAGGGCGACGACGGCGCCGCCGCAGCCAGGCAAGAAGTTGCGGCCACACTCCTCGGCGCGCCGAACGCGAACGCGGCGGAGGGCGAAACGGGCCGAGACCGCGGCCATCAAGTGTTTAGCGGCCTCTCGCCCATTTAGCAAAGTGTGTATACGGGCCTGCATCGGGTAATGTCGGTCTCGGCGCGCCAAATGGGCAGCCGGGCAGGCAGGCAGGCAGGCAGGCCGCGATGGGGCACGCATGGAGGAAATATCAATTTATTGCCGCTTCCTTCACTCCGGAGTCACGTCGCCGCAGGAGTTTCCCGTCCGCCATCCTGCAACTTTACGATCACCCCACCCCGCCTCGCCCCGCCCCACCCCGCCCCATTCTCCTTCTCCTTTCCTTTTATTTATTTTACCGCATCTCGCTGCGCCGCGCTTAATCGGCCGTGTCCTCATCGCCAAAGAATGTGTTGCGCGCTGTGGGACGTGACGGCCCCGCTGCCATGGCACGGCCTCGGCGAGGGCCTCGCCACGTCGGGCTGCCCGCCAACGCCCGTCTAGCGCAGCACGGCCTCGGCCACGTCGGGCTGACCGCCAACGCCCGCCTAGCGCAGGCCGGCCTCGGCCACGTCGGGCTGACCGCCAACGCCCGCCTAGTGCAGGCCGGCCTCGGCCACGTCGGGCTGACCGCCAACGCCCGCCTAGCGCAGCACGGCCTCGGCCACGTCGGGCTGACCGCCAACGCCCGCCTAGCGCAGCCCGGCCTCGGCCACGTCGGGCTGACCGCCAACGCCCGCCTAGCGCAGCCCGGCCGCGGCCTCGCCGACAGCCTCTCCTTGACATCGCTTGACATTCCCGAGGCGGTGAGCGACCAAGCTGCCCACAATAGCACATCTCATTTATGCAGGTCATCAATCAGAAATAGTCTGTCTGACGTCAGAAGGGCGTAGGTTGTCGTGCGACATCAGGAATACTCTGTACCAGGGGTGAGCATGGCTTGGGGGCCGCACAGAGAGAGAGAGACAGACAGAAAGGCAAAGAAGGGAGATAGGAGATGGAATGAGTGAGGCGGCGAAGGTGTGACACGACCCAGCGCTGCACTGCCTCGGCCGCACGGGCTGACTGTCCTTTGTTCCTCCCATATGGCAGTGTGAGTGCGAGAGAGATGCCGGCCAGCCACGGCCAGCCGGCCGGTTGACACGTCTGATTAGAAATGGTCGTTCTCCGCGGTGAGCCAGACTACGTGGTGCGAAGTGTTTCCTTTGCATTGACGGTACTGACGCAGGTCGGTGCATCCTTTCGACCCCAGCCTGACCCCGTCCCGACCCGAACCCTGACCCCAAGCGGGCCAGGCGGCACAGCTGCAGAGATACGCAAGCTGACCTCGCTGCCTGCGCCACCGCCACCGCAGCGCGCGCAGCCGAGGGATTTTATTTTTCATATTTCGACCCAGCTTTCCTCTCGGGCCGGGCGAGCAGCTTCGGGGGAATGGGAGCCGCGGCCGTGGGGTTCGTCGAGTTCAACTAGACGACGCGGTGAGGCGAGGCGTGCGAAGAAACAGTTGGCCCGGAAAGTTTATTGGGCCGGGATAAAGCATGGAGTGAGTGTTCAAAGGGCAATTAGGGCATGTCGAACGGATGGAGGCCGGCGAGGCGAGCGAGGCGGCCCACGCCGTGACTTGCAGCCCCTTTGTGGGCGCCCTCCCGCCGCGCCAAAAACCCACGATAAACTCGCCAATCAAGCTGTTCCCACCGCCAGCAAAACGCGGAATAACGACCGTCGAAAACAACGTCACTGAGCCCTTTGGCTTTTTGGCGTTCGCTCGAAAGGGCGCGGCGCGGTACAGTCACGCTTCGCTCGACCCGTTCCAATTGGACTTCGGTTTCACACCAGCACCGCCGGAAACGCAAAAGAATGTCGGAAATAGTCTCTCGGGTTGTTAGCATTATTTGTATTCCTTTGAAAGGGGCCGCTGCGGTGCAGCTTGGCCCGTTCAAATTGAACCGCCCAAGCTCTCTTTATTTCCTTTTCCAGGTCATTCAGGCGTCCGAATTCCCGCACGCTGGTCGGGGTCGGGGTTGGGGTTGTTTTCGGGTGGTGCGCGTTGCGGCGCCGCGCGGTGCGATGCGGTGCGGCCGGCGAGGTGGCCGGAGAGGTGGCCGAAAGAGCGGACCCCTTTTAGACTCTTATTAAGGAGGCCCCCCGGGCCGCTGCGAGGGCCGGGGAGGGGGCCGGGAGGGGGCCGGGAGGGGGCCGCGGCCTCGGCGTCCGGGGAGGGACGGGCAGCCCTTCTGATATGACGGCGCACTGGAATGCTGGAGGCAACAGTGCGGTGGAGGCAACTCCAGCAGAAAACGGGGGGAAGCGGGAGAGAGAGAAGGGAGTGAAAACGAAAAAAAAAGTTGGCTGATAAGGCAACCCGAAAGGGCAGCCGACAAGGTCGCCGCCACTGCAAAGCACTGCAAAGCACTGCAAAACACTGCAAAGCACTGCAAAGCACTGCAAAGCACTGCAAAGCCGCTTCACAAGCTCACCTGCCACGTCCGCCACGCGCGCCACCTCGCCGCACGTCACGAAGTAGTTGTAGAAGGTGACCATGACGATGCCGCCGTTCGCTTTCTGCAACAGCAACGCCATGACGTCAGCGGCGACGCTTCGGAGCCGCGCGGCGGCCTATCGGGCACACTGGTACGCACCACTTTGTCGAGGACGTCGTCGGGGACGTTGCGGGAGGAGTTGCAAACCGACAGGGCGGAGGAGTGGCTGAAGATGACGGGCGCCCTGGACACGGCCAGCGCGTCGCGCATGGTGCGCACGGACGTGTGCGACAGGTCCACCATCATGCCCAGGCGGTTCATCTCTTTGACCACGAGCTGCGGCACACCAAGCAGTCAGCAAAAAAAGGAAGGGCCCTCTAATTGTGAGGTAGCAAAAAGTTTCCTCGCAGGCATGCGCGACTCGTAGAGCCCCCCCCCCCCCACACACACACACACTCACGCACATAGAGGCCTGTTAAAACTCCCCGTGCCGTGTTATTCACCGCGCGCATTTGGCCCCGGTCCGGCAAAAGCGCCGAGGGAAAAAAAAATCTGCGCAACGCACTCTAACTTACTTTGCCAAACTCGGTGAGTCCCTTGGTTCTGGCGGCCGAGGTTTGCGGGGAGGTCGTCTCCGACCTGGAACAGGCGAACGAGCGCATGAAGCACTGGCGGACGCACGCACGCGCACGTGCGGCGGACAAAAATACCAGGTGGAGATGACACGGACAAGTTTGGTCCTCGACTGAAACACAGCCTGAGCGGAAATCCACCGGCAGTGTCATTCAGCCGAGGCCGTGTCTGGGGAAGCAGGACGTGTCTTACCAGGGCGTGTCGCAGGTGTGCGTGAGCGTGAGGTAGCGCACGCCGAGGTCGTAGAGGGCGCGGAGCACGGCCAGGGAGGAGCCCAGCGAGTGGCCGCCCTCGACGCCAATCAGCGACGCGATCAGGCCGTCCTTGTGCGCGCCCACGATCTCTGCAACAAAAGACTCTCGTTGTAGTTGTCGCCCGGTGTCGTCGCACCCGCCACCCGCAGGCCAGGCGGCAAGCGGCACGCACGGTCCGGAGTGTGTGGAGACAGGGGTGCTAACGCCGTGCCTGCCGCGCCGCGCCCTGCCCGGGGTGGCCGCCCTCGCTAGATTAGACCGTGTTCCGCCCGGCCCTACCTCGGCCACCCTCGGCCACCCTCGGCCACCCTCGGCCACCCTCGGCCGCCCTCGGCCACCCTCGAAGGGCGCAGGGTGGACAACACAGGGCGGGCCCACGATCCATCACCCCCGTCGGTCGGCCGCGCGCATCCCTGGGCCTTCCCTTGGCCGTGCCTTGGCCGTGCCTTGGACGGCCAGCCCTAGGCCGGCCCTCCGCCAGCCCTCGAGTGGGCCTCGGCCGGCCTCGGCCCGGGGGAGGACAGGCCGAACGTGCCGTGCCGCCAGGACCGAGGCCAGGACGCACCGGGACGCGATAAGAAAGGGCCGCACCGTGGCCCCGTTTACACTGCGCTGTGCGGCTGCCTTTCCTCGCCACCCTGGCGGCCACCCTGACAGCCAGCCGAGGCCAGCCACGGCGGCGATGCCTGCCGAAGTGTGACTCGAGCAGGAGGGCGTTATTGAAAGGGAAGACAACCCGGCCTGCCCTCCTAATGACGCCGTGGGCCCCTGGGGAGCGAGGAGTGGAGGAGGCTGTATCAGAGGCCCCCCCCCCTCTACCGCCCCGCCACGGCCCGGGCTCAGTCCTTCGCCCCAACCCCCTAACCCGCTATAGCGGCGCGCTCCGGGGCAAGGAAAAAGAAAGAAACTTTGCAGCGCCGCCCGGTACTTTGAAAGCGCGCGCCATGTTTGCGAATGACTCCATAATATTTCGGCGTATGAAAAGGAGAAAAAAATAAAAATCAATACTGTTTGTTTCCCCCTTTTGCCAAACGAGGCAGCGACGACGTAGTCATTATGAGGTATCCGATGTATTCTTCCGGCCTGACCAAACTTTGGGCGCGGCCGAAGTTTATTTTGCCGGGTGGTGAGTGGGAAGCATCGGGCGGAACGTGTCGCCCTGCGCGCTGTGTGCCGTCCGGGCGCCAGCCCCGCCAGCCCGCTCTGTGTGCGTTGCGGTGTGGCGCTGTCGGACCCGTCTCCCACCCCTGCCCCCGCCCCCGCCGCCCCCGCCGCCCCCGCCGCCCCCACAGGGCACGTCCGTACCGACGGATGTGGCCGTGCATACGTCGCAAATGCGGACATTCCCGAAACAATATATCACACGTCAGTGCGTTTGTTCCTTCGTGGCCCTTCCACCCGGCGCTCGCCTGGCGCTCGCCGTCACGCCGGAGACCCCAGTCCCTCCCCTCCCCCCCTCCCTCCCCCAGCCGGTGCCTATAAAACGACTCACAGACCTCGCACGAACGATGGCCAATTTGTCAGGCCCTTGTGCGGCGGCCTCGGCGGGGCAAAGGTGAAGGGACAAAGCGGGGTGGGGCGCCGTGGCGCGGGGCAATGAGGCTGGCTGCCTGGCTGGCTGCCTGGCTGCTTGATGACTTCTTTGTCCCCGCAGAGGGGTAGGCGAGAGGCAGAGAGTTCTCCCTGCTCCCCACGCCGCGCGCCGCCGGTGCAGCAGCGGGCCGCAGACACACGGCCAGGGCGGGCCGTTTGGCCGTTCCACCTGCCGGCCCTTATCGTAGGCGCGGCAGCGCGGCACCGGGAGATTAGTGCCGCCATTGGCCACGCCGCCGCGCCACATTTCACTGCCGCACGGGCTTACCGGCTCGGCTGCAGCACGGTGAAGCGCTGCAGAGAGTCCGCAGCACTGCGCAGCACCATGGCCGCGGCGGGCGCTTGGGCGCCGAAGCACGCTGCTGCTTCCACAAGGAGAGGAGGCACTCAAGGGCAGCCAAGCCAGACCGCGGACGCGGAGGGAAATTAAAACGGGAATTCTCGCCGGGGTATGCACTGGAGGTGTGCTGCGGCCCTGGCGGCCGCGCCCCAGCGCCACCCAGGCCGCGGGGCCACGGCAGCGTCACGGAGAGAGGCCGAGTGCAGTGCCTCCCCGTGGTCATCCGGAGTGGCGGGGTGGGGGCGGGTAGAGTCCTTAAGTGCCTAGAGAGGCGCGGGGCATGTCGCCCTGACCCGCCATCTTGTAACGAACCCCCCTCCCTCCTCAAGTCACGCTGGTCCGAGTCGGATTCGGGCGCGAGCGCGAACAGAGACGAGCCGACCCTAGAGCCGAGCCGAGTCCAGCCTAGAGCCGAGCCGAGCACCGACGCTCCCGAACCGGCCGAACCGAACCCCGAGCCGAGCGCGAGCCGAGTGCGCCTCGGGCAACGTCGGGACGCTTTTTTGAAACGAAGTATGAGAAATAAATCGGTCGTTCTTTCCCGATGTATGACGAACTGCGCATACCGTTTTCCAGCCCCGCGCCTCTCTAGACACTTAAGGACTCTAGGGGCCGAGAGCGGGCCGAGTGGCTGGGGCAGGAACCAGAGGGAACCACGGTCCAGGACTGGAGGAGGCGTCCGCCGCACCCGCACTCGATTAAGAATTCACCACAAGTCCTGCGGCCCTGCCCAGCTCAGGGGCGTCCGCCACAGATAGACGCGCGCGCACTCTCACCCCCCCCCCCCCCACCACACACACTCATCCAGTTTGAGTGTGGTTAGGCTGGTGTGGGCCTGCAAGCCACACTCAGTCGAGCCAGGTTTCCTCATCGCGGCGTCGGCGCCGCCAAACAAAGAGACTCCCCTGCCGCCCGCCCCTGCTGCCCCGCCCCCTCCTCTTCCCCGACTCGTTCGCTTATTACTTCCCCGATCCAGACAAAACAACCGTGGCCGCAGACGATGCCGGCGGCGACGGCGTGCGAAGGCGATATCGCGCTGCAACTGCTGATCGGGCCGCGCCGGCCCGCGTGTGGATATAGCTGTATCGGGTTTTGCATTTATATTACGTCGGCATCGCGAGCCAGCCCGCCCCGCCCTCACCCCGCCCCCGCCCCGCCCCGGCCCCGCCCCCGCCCCGCCCCCGCCACGCCCCCGCCACGCCCCCGCCCCCGCCACGCCGCACCGCGCCGCGTCCGCCCCAGGGGTCTTCATGACAGCAGGGCGGCCGCCGCAAAAAGTTGAATTGATGCGCTAAATGGAAAGAAAAGCGGTGCGTACACCGAAATGCACTTTCGGGCTTGCTTTCGGGTCGGTCAGGAACCAGAGACCGCGCGCGAGTTTGAGCCAAAGTAAGGCCGGGCCGTTTTATAAGGCACTTTCGCAGTAACCAACGTAAACGGCATAATTGGCTGAGCCGCGTGGGGGCCCTCGGGCCGCGTGCGTGCGCGGGGCCCGTTGCCCGTCGAGGGTCCTTACAGGCCGGCCGGGCCAAACCGGAACAGAGTCGGGCCACTCCACCTGCACGGCGGGCAGTCAGCGCGCCGAGCGGCCAGCAAAAACAAAGTTTCGGCCCCGGTTTTGGCTTCAGCCCTGCCAGCCAACGGCGCCACTCCACTCCGGGGGTCTGTCGATCGCAAGAGAGATTGCAGTAAACGCTTGTCGCAAGGGGCACGGCCCGGCACGGCCCGGCACGGCCCGGCACGGACCCCGAAACGGGTCGGGTTGCCAGTGCGAATGGCTGTCTTTGGATCTCCAGCGCCGAAATCCACTCCCCTCCCCTTCCCCGCCGCAGGCTCCAGACTCCAGCCCCAGGCTCCAGACGGCGCCACTCGGGGACGAGCCGGGACGGGCAGGCAGGCCTTCGCTGATAACTCAGCACTGATAAGGACCTGCTGGCCCTGCTGGCCCTGCTGGCCCTGCTGGCCCTGCTAGCCGCAAGCTCGCGCCGAACGGCAAAACACAACAAAAACACGAATAAAACGAAAACTCGAAGCCACTCCACGGGATGTGGAGGAGAGCGTTCGGCGGCCATTATTATGTGTGCAAATATCGCGTAACGTGCGTAAACGGCACTGAGAGGGGAGGGGAGGGGGGCACGGCAGAATAAATTGACCATACTTCCGACGCGGACGGCTTGCCTCCCCCGCCCCTTTTGCTCCTGCATGTTTCATGCGTGCCATATTTCCAGTGCCATTGTTGATTGTGGGGGCCTGGCCCGGCCCGCCCGGCCCGCCCGGCCCGGGATGTCGCCATCGAGTTGAGGGAAAAGGGGGAGGGGCCCTGGATATCGCGGCAGCGTGGAGCGTCTCCTCGACGCAAAAAAGATCATCAAAATAAAAGGTTATCTTTCGGCTGACCGTCACCGCGGTCACCGCGCGATGCCTGCCGGTCCCCGTGGCCTTGGGTTGGCCTTGGTTGGCCTTGGGTTGGCCTTGGGTTGGCCTTGGGTTGGCCTTGGTTGGCCTTGGTTGGCCTTGGGTTGGCCTTGGTTGGCCTTGGTTGGCCTTGGTTGGCCTTGGTTGGCCTTGGTTGGCCTTGGTTGTCCTTGGTTGTCCTTGGTTGTCCTTGGTTGGCCTTGGTTGGCCTTGGTTGGCCTTGGTTGGCCTTGGTTGGCCTTGGTAGGCCTTGGTTGGCCTTGGTTGGCCTTTGGCCTTGGTTGGCCTTGGTTGGCCTTGGTTGGCCTTTGGCCTTGGTTGGCCTTGGTTGGCCTTGGCCTTGGTTGGCCTTGGTTGGCCTTGGTTGGCCTTGGTTGGCCTTGGTTGGCCTTGGTTGGCATTGGTTGGCCTTGCCCGGCCTTACCCGGCCTTGCCGAGGTGAGAACGGCCAACGAACGGCAGTCGTTCCGTTTTACAACTACTCGCTGCGGTGCGGCGCACGGCCAGGGCGGCCCGCAGTCCTGGAGGAGGTCGTTGGGGCCGTGAGGGCCGAGGGTCGGGGGAACTGGCGCTCCGGCGCCGCAAGCTTCAGCGCGCGTCTTCGCCTCCTTAGCGGACGCCGAGTACCTGCGGCAGTGCCGAGGCCGTGCCGAGGCGGCGCCCTCCCGCCCCCCGCCGCGCGGGTTACTTATCTCAACAGCGGCCCGGCGGCGGTTCCCCTCACTCTTAGTCGCGCCGCGA